GATAGGGTTCATTCCTGATTCAAGTGACTCTCATAAGAATTAGTTAAGTGAATTAAATTTATTCGTAATTAATCCAACCTCACATAATTCAATTCAAGTTTTAATTATGACGACCGATTGATAGACTTCTTATATATTCTATGGTAATATCGGCAGCATAAAAGATTAAAACATAAAAGATTTTCCATTTATAGCGAAAACAACTTTAGTAAAATGAACTTAATTTGTGTCAAAAGACATGACAAAAGCTCTTATTTATTAAGGAGTATTTGTCAACTTCGAATTAAGTAGAGCAGGCATCACCTGAACGATCACTTTTCCTCCTACATCGAACATCATAAAAGGCGTGGAAGGATGGAAGATGGAATGAAGTAGTGATTCTCAGGTAATGCCACTTGAATACGTCTCTACATCCCTCTTTGTTCAACACTTCCAATATCTTCATTGACTCAATTCAAGTGATACAAAGATACGGGCAATATTAATATGGGCAGAAAGTTCCTCAACTACCATTGAGGCGTCGTAATACAACAACCATCATTAGATATATAAAATTCAAATCCCACAAATTTTCGGATTCCATAGCTACTTAAATCTTTGATTTTATATACTTCGGAAAAACAGGCAATTCATATATTATTAGTGGTTCAAATTCCCTGGATCATTCACTGCATTCATTCATTCATTCATTAACGCATTTTGAGCTATTCTACGAACAGGCCACACAGCCGTAATCCTTCACGACGTGTTTCTTCGATAACAGGCGATTAACGAGTATTTGGTGCTTCGAAAAGATCAATTTGCATAAATGTATCAACCACAATGGGAATATAACCAATAAAAAGTGTAAAACAATGCAAGTGTGTACTGTGTGACCTTTACAAAGAGTTGAACGGCAGCCTTTTAATCAATTCCTTTCTCATACTAATTAATGACAGTTATTCACTATAATACTGTCCACTCAGAAAAAAAATGATCAAATAGAGAAAATTTCCAGACACATTACTGATTTCAGCTCAAATTTAAGGTAAATTAAATTCCTGAAAATTTAACAACTATCATTCATGATGAAATAGTGTGAAATTTAAATCCAACATTTCTTCCTACCACTTTTGTTTTTGTCACTTTTCCAAGTATTCTATTTATAGAAACGAGGGAAAAACTGATTCTCACAGGACCTTACTTTATATGAGCTATGCATTCCATTCTATTTTCAACAATTTTTACAGGCTTTTCAGGTTCTTCAAACAAATGCGACATCACTTCTCAGCTATATTCAATGTTCTCTCAGTAGCAAATAAGCTACCCTGGAAAATGATTAAATGAATTACTCTCATAAAAATATCGAACTTTAAGGTAGCTCCCAGCAGATTTTTCTATCTCTTTCAGTTTCAGAACTTTATATTTAGCTTTAATATTTCAATACAAAGCATTATTTGAACTCAGTCGTAATTATCACTTTCTCTATGGCTTATATTTCTTAAACTTTCTAATATCAACTGCATTGCAGCCAATCTAATGATATATGGTGCTTAACAGCTCCAAAGAATCAATGAATGTTGAGAAGCAATTAACATCATTAACGGTAAGTTAATCAAGGTGTCAAATCAACTTAGAGATCCACATAGTTTTCCTCATCTTTTCTGGGAGTTAGAAAGGAAATGACATTTAAAAGATAAGGCATTAGATTGGCTCCATCGTGTTAGAAAGAAAAAAAGTGAGAATATTCCTAATATTTTAATAATCCGAATCAAATTACTTCCAAGAAGAAAAAGGCTTAAGTAAAGATGGAGAGAGGTCACTGTAAATTTCTTTCTTGAGCTCCTGCTTTGGCCTTCAACAATTAGAATGACAGATAATCGGTTCATCGGACCATTTCTCATTACAGTATAACCCAGTTCACTTTACTTCCTACGAATTTGTACCAAACAACCATTTTGATCTCATCTCCTAATTTGTTCACTTTAATCTCTATCGACGAATGGTTACTTATTGTGCATACATTGCTTAGCCTACTTCACTGATTCATTGCATTTGCTTGGAGAGGATTCGGATTAGTACCGAGTTCCAGCCACTGACCTCAGCAAAAATTTAGGTCAATTTGGGCGCATCCAAGAGAATTAGTTTGGGCATATCCAAACTAGTGATATATATTTCTTTTTTCGTCCACTACGTAATGTCTTGCATTAAGAGCCGATAACTAGAACAGAAGTCGGTTAAAAATAATCATAAACAAAAGCACTGGGTGGATTAATAAAGTGATTAGTATATATAATATGAAAAGGTCTGCTGTTGGGCCAAAACATAAACAGAAATTCAAAAATCACATATAAATCTTTATCAGACAAAATTTTAACTGTTACTACAATCAATTCATATTTGTGTCCAGTCTTTCCATCAGGCGATGGAAGAAGAATCATTAAACTTTATATTTTATTTCAAAGGGAGTCGTCTAAATTTCACCGAAATTTTCTTTTTTCTGAAGCACATTCCTTCTAATCCGTTTAACACTACTGACAATTGTTCAAGTTAATGTACACATATGTATTTAATTCTTATACCATCCGTCACCATCTCTTTCCCAATTATATACGATTTGTAACTAGTGAGACTAGCAATCAAAAGGGGTAGGTTAAATTCACGGCTTTACCTAATTTTGACCTCACTAATATTCCAGATGCTCTCAAATCCTCATTATTTTTTTTCCAGAATAATCTGGAATTTATGAAACGAAAGAAACTATAATTAAAGTGAGCTGAAAAAATATCCTAGTTGTTTAATACTAGTATATCTCTGCACTATATGCCATATATTGGCTACCTATATTAGCTATGGCAGCATAATAAATTAATCACATTTTATTACGGCTTGTGAATTTGCAATTAGAAAAAATGAAGATAACCGAAACCCGCAGCACTAATATTATTTTTACATCGGATTTAATATAAGGTCAATACTGATTTTAGTTACCGAAAATTATTTATAGGTAACCAACCAAAGTGAAAAAAAGAAAAAAAACTGGTTCTTAAGTCAAACAAAAAAATGAATTTGTTTACAGAATCATGTCCACATAAAAAAGGGAAAAAGAGAAGGTAGTATAAAAATGATTAGGCCTGATGACGTTCAGCAAATAAACTAATAACCATCAGGGAAGCAAATAAGACGCCAACATTAGTTATACAATATCCTCACTCAGTCATTGATCTTCCACGGACACAGTCCTCTTCTGATAAAATGATTTTCATGTTGCGTTTGCAGACCCTCCACGATGGCAAGAAATAAAGTAGAGAGGTGGCAGAAAGCGTGACTCTTAAGGTAAAATGACTCTTAAGCCATGACCAGTGTTAAAGGCGACCTCGGGCAGTGTCGACAAAGCGCTGCCATTTTAAAGTTACGCCTCGTTTCTTTAATTTCATTCTTTTGTGCGCACTTTCATGAGAATAAATATTGTCCTCAAAATAGAACGCAACAATTGAGCATTGCATATACATATATACATATATGCCCAAGAATTGCCCATTAAATGGGCAGAAACTAGTGACATTAAGCATTTTATGCTTCCTTGATTTTATCACTTCCGCACCAATTGAATCTCTTCCTGTTCTCGAACCCTCTTGAATAGACTATTTCCCTCTTTGTCTACTTATACTGTTTTCCTCTCTTAAATGATATCCAAAATGTTTTTTTTTTACTCAAAACAGAATAATTCCTTTGAATTGGTAACTAATCAAATTCGACAGGTGGGAAAGTTCTGTCAGAAAGTGAGTGGGTACAATGCTCGAAAGATTCAACCCATTTCTAAAATACAAAAGAGTAAGCTCACTATTTAAATAAATGAATATGTCATTTAAAAATCATAAATTATTTTACATAATTCCACATTCGTTGAAGTTTTAGCAGATAGTTCAGCAAAGTGATTAGCGCTTTGCTGACTAAACGTCAAGAGAGCGCTAATGAATAAAAAAGAAGAAATGGTTAGACTAGAATATGATTAAATATTGCGCATCCTAATGCTATACAAACGACATATAACAATAGGAATAAGGAAAATGAAAGCACATTATCCAAGGATTTTATGCAAAAATATGGAACCTTTCAGTTGCGTTTTTATCAAGAAGATTTCTTTTTTTACTGTAGCATAGGCAAGAAAAAAAACTGAAATGTAATTAGTCTTCTACATCAAGTAATTTTATCCTCCAAACCTAAACATCGTTCCTGTTCTTTTTTCTAGATTTGGCAGAAATTCAGAAATTAAACATTAAATACATTACAAATTTCCCAATTACAAAAAACAGATCTAATTCCTTTCTCAAATTACAACTTCCTCAAACATTTATCGAAAATCAGCTCAGTTGCATAAATTTATGGTTGAAATATTCTGTTACTGTTATTTGTCCTCTTCACACATAAATAAATAGGCAAATAAATAAATTAGACAAATAAGTAAATAAATTAGATAAACAAATAAATAGATCAATTGATTAGTTAATTAATATAAAGGAAGTGAACAAATAAATAAGTAAATAAACAAATAAGTAAACAAATAAATGAGTAATATAAATATAAGTGCAAAATAAACATAAATATATAAAAATAAACATAAATACAAATGTAAATATAAATCAATAGAAAGACAAAATATAAATATATGAATATAAATAAAAATACAAATATATAGACATATATGCATTTGAAAACATTATGACCAAACAGAAGACGAGCTACCTCAACAAAAGATAAGCGGAAACAGACAAACGAACATCTGGCTGATGACCCCTCCGAGATGAAAAACAAAGAGTTCCGGGAATAAAGATGGCATGCTAGAAGGTGAAGATGCGGTATAAACAAAGAAGGTCCAAGTTAATGCGATAGAAAGTTAGATGAAGTTAAATAATTAAATAAGCAATATAGTAACGGAAGCTAACCTTCCGATTCTCTTCCCGCAGATGCCATAGCAGCAACAGTGCGAGGGACTACTGCTAGATTCGATATTTTTTGATTCACGAACATTCGTGGAGCAAAAGGATGAGATACTCGTTGACATTTTCCGTAATTCGATATGAATGATGCAAACGATTGGTTTTTCTAACAATGAAAGTGATACTGTCTGTACTGAGGTTTGATTGCTATAGAATAAAATCGATGAGAAGTTGAAAATTTGAGACTTTTTACTTTCCGTCTATTTATCCTTCAAAGTTTTCTCCAGAATACACTCTTATTACTTGTTCCACTCGTTGAAATTAGAAAGATCCCAAGCAAACTGGAGTAAAACTAGCTTTAACGCTATTTTTATAAAACTGCTTGCTGCAAACAATTTTTTAAAGAGGTAGGGGAATAAAGAAACAGACGAAAATTCCACCAAGTAGGAATCCTATTAAAACGAAACCGATTTTTAACCTTGGCATAAATATTTGCTGAGGTCAAAGAGTAAGCACCTACCTTTGTCATACGAAGTCGGAATATGATTTATGTCCTGTCTGATAACTTGACTGCTTAATTCACCTCGACCTCATCGATTCCATTCACACTCAAATAGGAACATTTTCTCTTCCCAGCAATGCATTCAGTTTGAGATTTGGATCTAATCCAGCATGATCTAACATTTTTAACTCTACTAAAAAATCCAGAAGAAATAATTATTCTCAGTAATATCCTCTATGAATATAATGATCCTAGTCCCAAAACTTTTTACTTTTAATAGAGATCCCACGATGAACAAAAATTAAAAATGAAATATAATTCGCCAATTTTTGACGGAAAGATCAAAAACAAAATAGCAATGACAATCAAGAATGAATTACGAAGAATGTTCAGCCATAATTAATTACCTCCACAATTCGAGATTTGCTTCCATATTTTAAAAGGAATTTGTGCAGCATAAAACCATTTATAATTGTTAATTATTTACAAGATTCTGCCTCACCTGTTTGTCTCTTCAACTTTCAGCAAATATGTTTATCAAAAAAAAAACTAAACTCGTATGTCTATTCTAGGATTGATTATAAAAACATTTAGATAATAAAATGTCAAGTCCAAACTGATCAAAGAAGAAACTTTGTAGTAAATGAAATATAACATAACTACTCATTTCATTTTTATTTGTAACTATTTTGAGTTAGTAGCTATTAATTTTTCTTTTCTTTTTTTTCTTCTTTCGACAACAAAGACAATTCCATATAAGATTAATAAGATTCTTAAAGTGGAATTATTGATCACTTCGAAAATTATTTTTAAAATTTTAAGAATATATAGCAGAAAGTTTAGACAAAAAATGAAGCGTGCATTCTAATCAAATGCAATTTATATTTTAACACTTTTCTACGAAAAATCAACTTAATTGAGGAAATAAAATGACCTATAATATTTGTTTCAAAATGATTGTACAATGCCCCCTCAATCTCTTCTCTCCTTCTCCAAGAAAGGAAAATGATAACGAGCTTTACAGCACCGTTAATGAAGCCATACCAAATCAGCATTTCATGCTTCAAACTGAAATAGATAAGAACAGACACAGATATATATATATATATATATATATATATATATATATATATATACATAAACAATAATCCAATAATACCTCTATTATAGTACTCCTACTTGGTATTCTAGATTTACCACTCCACTTCACCACAATTTAATTTAAATGAAACCCTTTCACGCTGTATTAAAAACTATCAATCACCGCTAATTTTAATTTACAATTTACACATATACTTAAGATGTTTATAACTTTAAGCAATTCCCTTTAATAAAACTGACAAGATATTTGCATAATAAAATACATCATTGGGATAAAATGATTTCTACACTAAACGAAAATTTTTTAAAAGTAATTAGAAATTGTTGGATATGTATAGCATCAACAGCATGAAAATAATAAGAGTTCAAATATTTCATTCGATGTTTTTAAAATTGTCAATTTCTGAAAAAAAATTTCCTGCACTGTTTAAACGACTTAAAACATAATTCCTTTACTCTAAGGAAGTGCCATTAGAAAATTCCTTTATGATTAAATTTTCTCTTAAATGAATTTTCATGTGAAGTCTGTATTCTTTGCCCTTAATTATCAAGTATTAGTTTGCTAGCTGTGGGAACTTATCGATCTTCACAATGGTCACAGTATTTCGCCTTTTGTGTGTGCCTTGCGCTGAATCGATGTGGGAAATGACTTGGGATTTTAAAGAAACGTCAGAAGTTTACTGATTAAACTGATCAGCCATTTAAATTGAATAAAACTAAGTAGTAAATCAAATATGGAATTAAAGTGGAAGTGATAGTTTACCATCACATCGGATATAAAACAACGAATTTGATTTTCGAGATAGATTCTTCTAAAATTGTGTTAAAGTATGAATGATGATGGAAGATTAAAATTAGTACCAAATAAAATTGAGCTAGGAAAGATGCAGTTTATGTTAAAAATCAGTGAATAAATGGAAAAAAAATCGATCAAACTAAAAAATTTCAATTTCAAATTCTGTTTGTGCACATGAAGAAAAAATTTTAATTTCAAAAAATAAAAAATAAAACTAACAATGGATTTGACGAATTCCAATAAAGATTAGGCAAACGGCGTGCAATTGAGAACTTCAAATTACAGAATATCATGAATAAGTGAATAATCGTAATGATGAGTGATGATGGTTCTGTCCACATTACATACATATAATACGGACAGCACTTCCACGCGCAATATCGTATTTTCTTGTGGCCTTTTCACTTTACTTGATGACTCCCTGGAGTAACCGTTCGTGAAATTAAAAGATGGCTCGCTGTTTTTTTAATTTACTAAACGAAAAAACTGAGCACTAAAACAGCACTTCCATCTGCAAGTGCTTATCGGATTAAGAAATTTGTAAGACTCCAGTTCTCAATATACTTATCACATTTCCATAAATTAAGAGAAATGTGCAGTGAAAATGTGAGAGGATAGCTTCGACATATCACACCTCCAATATAATTCACTCGTAATACGGTGAAATAAGCATAATAAAATAGCATGAAAGAAGCAGTAAACATCAAACAGAATATCAATTACCGTACTTGGTGAAAAACAACAGTTTGTATTTCCTATATCTCGAAACAAGTATCCTACACCTCAGTACCGTATGCTTACCGGTACAAGAGGGAAAGGAATAGGAAGAAGTTGTGAGAATTTAGGAATCTGCGGCCAAAGGACTATTCAGTCTTTCAAATTCAAACTGTCCTGCAATGTTTCTGAATTCAGTTTAATTACTATCCAAATCAGTACAATTGACCTTGCAGTAAAAATGATAGAGAATGAAGTTTTCATGGACATATAGATGTTCTACAAATGAGTATTCATCCTCAAGAGTGAAATTGGCTCACTTTATTTCAATGTCATTTTTTAGCTCAACTTACTGCTTAACGCAGAAACAAGGTTATGAAAATAATGAGCAACTGCGCTTCTTAGTCCCGCATAAATTATGAATATAAGGATAAAATGAACAATTTCTCATTCACTGTTAAGCACTACTGCATTGTAATCGTTTCATGTGCTGTTGTATTTCGGAAACGTTCGAGCGTTTATCATAAATAAATAGTTATAGGAATATGTCACAGAGGACATATGGCGCAACTAAGAAAGGTAACGTTGTCAAAGAGTCAGTGATAAGCAATATATGCTTCGTTCTGTCAAAATGATTCGGGAACTGTTTAAAAATAGTTTTGTTGAATGAGTCGTCACTGAATACTTCTTAAACCCCGAGATCAGCAGAATGAACCGTTATCTGAATCAAAGTACTAGAATCTTTCTTTTTCCCTTTAACACTCCCCGCTCCCTTTCCTCCTTTATACTCCTGCCGGATTGTACTAACTTCATTTGGTGAAAAGACTAGTGCACATACATACACAGACACATACACAAATAATATGAGCAGATTTAGCAAAAGGAGCGGTAGGGAAGCGATATTGCCGCAGTGACAGGAACAGAAATGGGCGGCTCGATCCTTTCCTACAACGCCGCCTTCACTTTTATTATAATTATTGGGATGGGTGGTGTTGGTCACTTTTCCCGCCCTCTTGTCAGTATTCTTCTTTTGATGAAGAATGGCATTTCGGAGGTGATGGGAGCTAGCGGTGTATCCTTCATTCCAGGTGTCGGCTTTGAGTTTCCCTTAGGGTTCTATTCTGAGGCAGCAATATCAGTTACTCAAATTTTGATTCCAACAACTTGTCACCAATATCTGCTGTGTGCGCTGAAGTTGAATATCAAATGAAGACAAGATTCTGTAGAAATGAGATTCTAGCAATGAACAAATTCCAGATTTAATGCAAACATTGTATACGATGGAAAGCCTGACTAAACATCAGTTTAATAAAGCTGTTTCTGCTCCTGAGCAAAAAAAATATGAATCGTAATACAAATGTAAACTTATGGAATGGAAAGATGCTTCAGAAAAAATATCTTGTCGTAATAAACAAGCATAAGTTGTAACAGAACTGGGTTCCTCCACGTTTTCAGTTTGTTCTGGGCTTAGGTGCAATATATAATACTTATCGACATAAGTACAGCGATGGATAAGATGAAAGTAGTGAAGTGGTGTTGTTGGTCTGTTTACACAATTGGAGTAAAATACTGTGTTGTGACTCGAGTGGTTTCTTTCTGGTCAACATTTGAAAAAGAGTGCTATCCAATGTCATCTTCAACAAAGAATCAGATTTTTGAAGCACTCCTGCAGACAACTTCTTCCACCATATGAGAATAATGCACGAATAGAAAAATTCTTTTTTAATGTGAAGATTTTTGATTTCGTGTCGAATCCAATCCTCCCCAACAATGCTATTGACTTTCCTTACCTTTGGGAATTAACTTCCTATCAGCTCTCAAAGGATAAGGCAAACTGAGACAATTTTGATCATCTGCTACCTTCAGCAAGACAGCATCAAAATTTTTATCTCATTAAACATAAGTAGAAATTTATTTATTAAGAATCACTTGCAAGTAAATTACACTCTGATGTCTTCAAAGTTCAAAATTTCAAATGCTTTTCAACTTGAGATTCAACCCTACAAATGATTTTTTTTTATTATTTATGACAGGTAAATCTGTTTTGCTATTCCATTATATCCATGTTAATGGTGAAATAAAATTTCCTGATTTGTAACTGCTGCTTTGAAAAAATAAGAATAATAAACGTCAGCGCTATTAAGTGATGAATTGAAATGTGGTTTAGGTTCTTTTGGACTGTTAAAATTAAACATAAATACCTAATGTGTCTAGCTCAAGATAGTTAAACAGCTCGTTATTTTTTTTTAAAAAATCACTTCTACAGTGAACCACAACAGTTATATTATTGTTCAGCTGCATATCTCTTTTCCTGAGACTTCCATTTTTTCATAGAATATCTGTGAGAAACAGAATATTTTCCATAGAATATCAGAGAAACTCTTTCTCAGGAAAGTTTCAAAAAAGCAGAGTCGAATGATTTAAACAAAGCTGATTTTATTCACCCGTTAGACATTTTTTCAGTTTAATGGTTATGGGAACCTTAAATAGAATAGATGAATGGCATTCTTAATCAAGTTAAATGCAAATTGCTTCTCAAATATTATGATCAACAAATTTTAATTAGTTACTGATAATTCTGAATGCGCAGATGAATTAGTTATTAACATATTTCGGTATTCCAATGATAGGAAGAAGGAATTTTTCAGCTCAGTGCAAAGTTTCTATAATTTATTAGTGGATGAGAACATTCAATAGAACAGTCCATAAATGACATCTGAAATTTATAATAATCACGTCATACACTTCAATAAAGTCGCTTATCTGTAACAATACAGTGCAAAAAATTGGAGAAATAATTGATATTGGAAAAATATTCAGAATTTTGGATAAGTGGAAACAGTTGGTGTTTTTGAAATTGAATGGTGCGTAGTGGCGAAGTGAATATCAAGATGGAAGTTTCAAAGTTCAAAGTCATTAATTAATAAACGTCTTCATTTTGTATTTCGGTTTTCATCAGTTAGTTCTAAACTTGTTTCTTAGTTTTTTTTTTTTTTTTTTTTTTTTTTGTGCAATTGGAATGTATATATTTATGTAAAAGTTATCAACATGTATCGGACAGGGTACTCATTGAATTTATTTTTTTGTCAGACAGTCAAGATATTTCATAACAATGCCGGATGGATCACATAATATTAACCTTAGTGGCTAAAAGGAAAATTTGAAGTGGGAGAATGAATCAATCACCTCGACGAATACGTGAAAACAACCATCTGATGAACTGGTAGTGTACAGGCATTCGTGCAAAATTCGCTGAAAGTATTGTACCGGTCACACCGATTGTTCCTTTACCACCTATGCTCATTTAAATTAAAATACATAGCGGGTAACACATGATGGCAAACAATTTCAAAATTATTTAGGACAACTGATTCATTTGTTCCTGGAAGGTAATTTTCATAACAAATCTCGTTTTATTAATATAATCTTAATTATGTACTGCTGACCTGGGTTTTTGGCTGATGGTTGTGGAATCGGGGGTATCACAGATAATTTCGCTCTGGATGCTACTTCTGCTTGAACATCTAACATTGATCGATCTGCTATATTTGTTAGATATCCTCGCTGAAAATCACACCTCTTTATTTCTATGCTGAAAAATACTATACCTGATAATCGATTAGTACTCTTTTATCTATAAATTCAACAAACTATGAATGTTGATCTCAGTATATTATACATATCAAATTTCCTCCTATTAATTTAAAACCCAATCCAAAATTCCATAATCTTTGTTGCTGCATTAAAACGAAGCAAAAAATTTCAGGACACGAAACCTGAAATATTTTATGCCTAATTTCTTAGTATCTTCCTTACATGCATTAATTTGAAATGTTTCAAACCTTAATTCTTTCACAAATCCCTGAAATCAGATGCCTCCATAAAATGACCACATTGTCTACATCTGTATTATTCCAACGATCCGCTTTTGAACTAAGCAGTGCTAATCGTATGTGATGTATTGAACATTCCAGAAATACTGACCTTTTAACACATGCTTTATTTTAAAATAAAGAAATGTAATTTTCAGCAAAATAAGAACTTAGTGATTTAATTTTTTGAGTAACTGTTCCATTTAGAATCATACATCTTATACAGCTATGATAATATTTCTAATTCAATAATTTTATTGCTAAAAACAAGAAAATTCTTACCAATAGTACAGCCGGAAGCCACTGCTCGATTCAAGCTTACCGTGTCTTCGTCCTAAATTATCCAAAATTGGATCAAATGCTTTCAGATCATCTAGGCTATTTATACCGCTTTCCAGAACCTGTAATGGCGCAGCAGATGATGGTTGGAACTGTCTCGCTTTCTCTAATAATTCTTTCCAGTAGTATAATGTCATAAAGTCGTGTTTTTCGTAGGATTTCTGGAAGTAATTTGTTCACAAACACTTATCTCAATCCATTGGATTAGAGATCTTTCGGCATCACTAATACCATTGATATATTATTTTAAAAAAGTTAGAAAGAACTATTTCATTAAAGTTGAGTCACTTACCTGGATGAAGCGAAGAGCTTGAAAAACAAAATCGTTATTCTTCTTTTTACAGTTGTTCAAATCCAAATTCATGAAAGAAAATAACTGCCGAGCTTCGGGACACTAAAACATTTTATAATGTAATTAATTGCAAACAGTGATCAATTGCACACAGAATCATTATTCTTCCCTCCACTCAAGGATGAATAAGTGAAGTTGAAATGGCATTTTGTGTTTTTTTTTGATCTTTAATAATTCTGCTTTTTTATCATTAGCTCATCCTCACACTACTCGTCTTTTTAAATAGAAAGCAAAAATATATGTGATGTATCCGAATGCACACAGCAACGTAATACAGGTAAAACAATCATCTCAAACTATATTTTTTTCACCGATGGTATCCAGATAGGTGAGAAAACTGTTGAAAATAGCCAAGATACTATGAAGATTAAGAAATAATGTTGACAACAATTATAAAAAATTTTAAACTGTTTTGCATTCTCATCATTGTATTTATTGGTTTATCAATATCGTCTTTTCTCTAAGATAATGGAGCAATTAAATCCTGAACTTCTCTCAAAACCCATCTCGAGATGATGGAAGCTACTTATAACAATTGAAATGTATGAATATATGGAGATACCTGATCAAAAATCATCCTGTAAATGTTGCAAGCAATTTCCTGCTTTTCTGTTTTCATTGTTTTCCAAGATCTCCTCAACAGTCGGCTCTCGGCATCATCGAAATCATACCATCTTTCCAAACTAGAAATAACCGTTTTCACATATGCCAAATGTAGTGTTGCTTAAAATGCTTGTGAAGGATTTTCTCACAATTTCTCCTTTACAGTTGTATATATATATTGTTTTTTTCTCATCGATGGTATCCAAATAAATAAGAATTAGAATGCTGTATACCTTTATATATTATATATTTATTTAAATTCAGAAGGAAGCAAGAAAAACAATCAACACTATAAGTTGTAACAGATATATTTGGTGATTAACAGATACTGTCTCATCATATAAAATTGTTTGAATGATGATACCTGCAAGTAATATCTTCTTTTTGTTTACAATATGACATATTGATTATGATAAGAAAATAAGACGGTTAGTTTAATAGATATTGGTAATATGTATTGGTAAACTGAACCTGAAATAATATCAATATCTTTGCAAATAAGTACCAACTTAAAAGTATTGCAATGGCGCCACTGGTTAGTTTCGCAACTACACATAACTCAATGTTAATTAATAGTAAATATTTGAAATGAATTTAACAAAACTATCAATCATTGATCTTAACACTCAATTTTTCAATTTAGAACTTTTACCTCTACAACTCTGACTAACACTTATCAGTCTTGCAAGATTAAAGAAAACTGCATTTTGGAACAAAATTGCAAATGGTATCTGTATTTGAATTGTCCGTTAACTGCTCTTCAAATGCAGAAATCTAGGGTCTGAAACATGAATTTAATTTGATAAACATCATATCAACAACCACTCACATAATACACATTGCATTATGAAGGTGAAAAGATTCATTGAAAAACTATTTGCGATCCTTAAAGAGACTTCATCAGTGATGATTTATTCACACATCTGGCTAGAAATAATGGAAAAAGCCTGGAAATCAATGCAATGGAGTTGCAGAAAGCGCAAACTCCTGATATGCCTGTGACTGAGAGAACAAAGTTCGGTAAAGGTTAGATAAATTTGCAATTTTATGATTAGATTCCAACTGAAAGAGAAAAAAGCACAATTGTATCTTGAAGATAAATTACAAAGTAATTTGTCCTATTGTGTTGATTAACCATCTGCAGCAAATATTCGGGAGCCATTCTTCACAAAAAAAATTTACGATTGGAATCAAACTGGAAAAGGAAGAATAATAGTATGAAGTTACGAAAATGACATTGTAGGAGATAAGCGAAGAGAATTAATTGGGAAAGATTAATTAACCATATTTCATTAAGTAATATTTTCAATAGTCATTAAATCGATGTAGTATTGCTTCAGGAGTTTTTTGTTTTCTCAGGAATTTTTTGCTTTCAACAAATTCTATGGAATAATAAACTTATCATCAATATCATCATCATCGAGGTTGTATTTATTATGTACTGTATACTATACATATGCTGTCGAATTTAAACTAATAAAATAAAAACTTAAATATGAAGTAGTAAAATAAGAGATATATTATACTGTTCAATATGTTTTGAAGTATTGCATAGACGAGCTGACAAATGCATTTTTCGTAGGCTTGGCTGCTATTTGCGAGAGTTCTTTTCTCTTCTCTTCTTTTTTGCTTCTTCCTCACACCATAAGATTAAATTAATAACCATAATTCCTTTAGACCATCTTACTTAAGATAGAGGTGGTTATCCAAATTTTCGTTGCTTTCAATGTTATTGGCACTTGTTGTGCATATTTGAAGGAAAATTCCTTTCTGTAAATTTTGTGTTCCTTCTCCGTCATGTTTTATTCTACCGTACAAAGATTTAAACTAATTATAATAAAGGTTTAAGTATCAAAATCTGATTTTTTTTTTCAGAAAGGACCAGAATCAACCGTCTCCATTGATCAGCGGCAAAACTGATAGTAATAAGGATAGAAAACATTTGAATGACTGAACTGATAACTCTGTAGATAAATAAATTACAATATTGTAGAACTGTTATAAAGGAATAATGTTATAGAAGTAACGGTATTAGAGAACGAAATGATTTCATACCAATATTGTCATTTCAATTATGTTACAGATAAATACGAAATCCATAACAACGGTTAACTACTCCAGAAGACTATACGAAAGCCAAAAATAAGTTATGGATACGGAGCAATGGAATAAATTGATTCGATTCGCACATAATGATAGTTAAGTTTTCAAAATAAATAAATAGTTAAGTTTTCAGGATCCTTAACGTAAAGCAACTGAAGAAATAAATCCAAAAATTTGCTGAGTTTCAGATCTCTTTTGAGAATCAACGGTGAAAACTATGGAAATGAAATTTTTTCATTTTCCTCTTAAAGAGAAGATGATAACGGAAATAAGACTACGAATCATTAAATTAAAACCAAAAAAAGACACTTAAGAAGGGCGAACAAGACGAATTGCTTCAGTAACTTCTAAATTTCATTTTAAGTTTAGGACCCAAGAATAAGATTTTCAGGGCCGGGTCTGAAAAAATAGGGTCAGTTAGTGCAGACTGGTAATATTAACAGTCAGTTCTCATCCTTCTGCCCACCCTTCATCATCTCATTTCCCTTTCGCTTGTTCTTCGTTTGTCTAAAAAAGATTTCATTTTAAAGCCTGCATCAGAATCCTAGCATTGATTCTTCTAAGTTTTAACCTGGCTCATCTATGATATCATATAAATGATATATTTTGCTAAAAAGATAAGTGTATAATTCCTCACTGAAACATTTTACTAAATAAGGGAACTAATCTGTTCTTGTCTTGTAAAATGCATTATTTTTTTTCATCCAAAAGGATAAAAAAAATAGGGTAAAAAAATCCACGCTTAGCTTTTTTTACGTAAAGCCATAAATTATTAACTAGATAAGTGATTGGCTACAGAACTAGAAATCAGAAAAATGAATAGAATTTTCCGAGAAAGTTGGTGTCGAGAAACCTTTTATTTTTGAGTAATTCCATTGTTAAAGTTATCACCTTAAAATTTAGGATTTTCGACCTAGTTTCCCCTTTTTCTTGAGAATTTCCTCAGTGGATGAATGAATAGATAAGTAGATCTTACCTCAGCTTTGCTGAAATTACTTCTGCCTATAATTATATTTAAATGAAAAAATCAATATATGGCATTCAGAAAGAGTTATAAAAAAAATGCATTATTCTCAGGTGCCGGTTGTGCGTCAACCAAGTCTAATTACTTTTGCTGCACTATTAAAATGAAAAGCATTGTTTTTGAGCAGATTTTATCTCCCTTAATGAAAAAGTTCAGTTAAAAGATTAGAAGAATTATTTTGATGCTTATGTTTCATCAAAACAGCTGAATGGATAAAATAATACAAAAAGTCGTTAACTGTGAAATCAATTAATAGATATAATAAACATTTTAATAAATTTTAATAAAACTAATACATTTAATAATATAAGCGATGACGAATTTACTTCTTTACAAAATAGCATTTACCAGAAAATGCATTTTTTCAGTAACATTCCTACCACTTATATGGGATTAATCAAGTATTTCAAGTTTTCCAACTTTTTGTTGACGATGTTCGTCTTGGCCTAATGATAATTCGTTTAAGATCTAGCTTAATTAACCACCAGTGGAGAGCAACGGCGTGGTTCCCACTTGCTGGTCCATGGCTTCATTTGTACCTAAATGTAGATGTAGATTAAATAGGTTGTTGGCATTATCGGTTATTACTCAGTTTTTTTCGAGTGAGAATTTGTCGAGTGCAGCATGTAGTAATTTAAAAGAATTAAGTTTTAAAATTGTTCCAAAACTTCCAAAAGGAATACTCTAGAGACATTCCTGAATTACTTACGTATGGACAACTCACTCTCATCCAGCAAAAATATTTGAAATAATTCTGTCCGCAAAATCAATATTATTCAATGACTGCTGAACTCATCAAATTATTTTGCCTATCAATTTACTTCACTGTCATATGAAAATGAATGAATGTAAATACTGACTAATAACTTGGATGTAAAGATAATTCACTTACAAAGTTTTTAAAAACAAATTTTGTGATTGTAAAATTTGAAACATAGTAGTTTTGAAGCATATATTCACTTTTCCGATAAGTTTGCTTCAGGAAAATGAATATTTTCCTGGCTTCCAGTTTTGTCGCCAAAACATAATCCAAAAATTTGTGTTATTCAGACATCTATTGAAACTGAACAAGGAAATTATTTTAATTGTGCTCGAATTTCTATACACTTTCATGGGTGTCAGGAAAATAAGGCATTGTACTGCTTTTTAAAATAACTTAATTTGTTTATTTTACTTGTCATATTAAATATCGCGCAATTTTTACAATACTTATTTTAAATTTGATAGTGTGGTTGATTCATTCGTAGAAGTTTCTGGATATCTCACCGTTTAAAGTGTCTTAATTTCTATTTGCAAAAAAATTAATTTGACCTTTACTTTACAATGCCGTAATCTATTAACTTTATTATCCTGATTTCGGAACATATGAGAAATTAAACAGCTATAAAATGACAGAATTATACGAAATCAAATCTATGGGATGTTTCACACTTAAAGGAGAAATAAGTGGATTTTTGACAATACCACTTTTTCAAAAAAAAGTTGTAAAAATTTGGCTCAATTTCATTTTTAGTAAGTATTGTGTATAATACTTTACGTTATGTAGAAAATTTCCTTGCAGCATTATCTTAATTTGTTTAAAAGATGGATTCTTTTTTAATTCTTGGAGAGTAATGAGAATGCCTTAGTTTAAGTATTCGTAAGTGTAGGCAAACTGGGTTGGAAAAGTATTTATTAGGATGAAACAGAGGAGGAGATTGAAGATTGAGCATAGTCTTTTGGGGTCATTTTGTAAATGTAGCGCAGAGTGAATGGTAAATCTTACCTCGCGGTTTTAGAAATGTGTAAAATTATTAATTTTAGATGATATTGTTAGGATTGACCGCATTTAGAAAACCATTCTGTTGTACTTTCAATAATTTTTCAGCAAATTACATATTATATTTCACTTTCTTCGTACTGTCTCATAACCAAATTTCCCAATTCTAATCAAAATAATTGTGTGAAAGAACAGTTTGCATTTGTTTTAATCATTGGTGATTTCTGTTACTCATATAATATTTGCTGTTCCTAGATTTATGTAAATGCAGTAGTTGTTTTTTACAACCGCAGCTTTGCTTTTTCGTTTTATAAAATTTTATTGAATTAATTTTCACCTGAAATACATTAAAAACCAGAGAAAGAAAACTAATTATTATTTCCCAGAAGATAGAAGGCAATATATATATATATATATATTTTTAGATAGCTAACTTCACATTATGAGGTTTATCTGTCAATCGGTTCCTGCATAATTCTAACTGGATACGGTCCTATAACATGCTTCTCTTAAAAATCTCATTGTATCAAATATTAAATTAAGCTTTTGAACTTTAGTTTTTCAACCTTTAACTCTTGGGATGTTCAGGAAAATAGTGCCCTTGCTTGCAAGAAATATCCTTTAATGTGATTCGTTAGCGCGTTAGTGTCAAGATAAAAATTATGGGTTGATTTCCTTTTACAGAGCTCTCTGTTTTGTGACAAATAAAAATACTGAAGCAGAAACTTCAAAACTTTACAAATGATTTAAAAATTTTCAAAGACTAGAAAATGAAACTCACACACAGGAATTTGTTTATATCAGAAACAATCGATGAAATAAAATACAACTATTGGTTAGCTTTGGTGAATAATTTTTTTTTTTTTTTTTGACGATTTACAGGCTTATTAAGTATCTTTTATGAAGAGTGAAGAGATAAGAAAACAACTGGACAACAGAAATAGTTGGAAATCCACATACAATCCGTCACCAGTTTATGTCAAAAATGGTAAAACGGTATGTCTTTTGTTAAAAATAAGAATATTGAAACAGCCTATCAAAATTTCTACTCTTCTGTAATTAAACCCCAATATACAATTTAGGTAATTAAGTGCCGGACTTGGCTGAAGCTACGTTTAAAATAACAATTCGATTTTTGAAGAAAATAAAATACACAAGTTCATTCTTTATAGGTGATGGAATTGTTTCGCTTATCACCGGTAACTGTGTTTTTATTTGGTTTCGTACCGCCAATGATTGGTGCTTTTGCAACCATAACCACAGCTTTAATTTTTCACAGTGAACAAATTAGGAATTACAACTGGCAATGCGGGGTATGATGTTCATTTTCAGTTTTTTTTTTTCTAAATCCTAATTGGTTTACACAGGGTATTTAAGTGAAATAAAATGCACGAATTTGTAGAGAGCTCGACTACCATCACTTTCACGAATAATAAATTTGCCGGTGGAACGGTTACTTTGGCAATTTTTGGTGCTTGTACATACACCTGCTCGAATCGTTGAATTATTTACTGGTTGTAGGTTTTTTTTTAGATAAAAATTCGAGACTAGTAATTGGTGTTTAGACTAGATTTGAAAACTTATTAGAAATATTTGACATTTTTTTTGCTCCGCATGAAATAAAAAATCTTTTTTATTGCCAAATTATTAGTTTAATTTTTACTTGTAGTTTATCGCTATGGACGTCTAATGAATGTGAACTATCGACAAAAACGATTTTATGAGTTTGCGCGGTATATATATTTTTATGCTGGCAGTACAGAATTATTCTTTATGATTGGCTTATCACTCCTTGGTGAACGCGAAAATATTCGTAAGTGAGCTGTATGACATCGTCTTTTTTCAAAAATTTTAGTACAGATATAGTCCAGAAAACAACCAAGTTTTCATGAATCCGATAATTAGACGTGAAAGCAAGGTGAATAAATCTAACACCTCTACTCATAGTAATAAGTTTTATCTGATCAAAATGCTTTATTAAATGTGTACTTCACTTATAAGACAATTTCTTTAATTCTTAATATTAATAAAGTTTTTTTTTTTTTCGAATCAATGATTTTCTCAACCTGTTTATTTCAGAAATCCATGTTATACTTTTCTATATATTTGGATTTTGTAGCATTGGCTTTTTTATAGCAAATCTTGTTTGTCATCGACATTCGCTATATTTCCTCCCTCCATACGTTAGTCCTTATGCCAAAAGTTCAATTTTTTCTTATGATGAAATCAAATCACTTAAAGTTTTATTGATTTCAGACTAGATAATTCAAGTCAAAAATACTAGAATTTCCATACCAGATGAACTGATTACTTGGGAATTGTGCAACTTTATCACTCTGCTCATCTCTAATTTTCACATAGCGAAAAAAATTTACAGGAGAAAAGGCCTCTTAGCACGGATAATGCTTGCAAAAACTTAAGAATTCTCAAGCGTTTGGTTTACCTTTGTTTGTAGCTCGTTTTTTTTACTATAAATTCCACTTCAGTCTTTGACGACATTTGACAGATAACGGAAACATTACAGTGTCATAGCAAAGAAAGTCTTTCTTGAAGGAGCGATGTTTTAGAAACAGCAATTTAATTATTTTCACCGTATTATCGGGAAATTTAGCAATGTTTTGCGGTGCTGTAACTTGACAAATATTAGTATAAATGATATATTGAAACTTAAATGAAGCATAAGAGAAACATCAAGATTTTTGCAGGGCCATCTGTCATATTACTTAAAAATTACTTTCTGTACTATTTATTTGCTGTCTCTTCCTATTTTGTTGGTATCTTTCTTATTATATTGGAAAGTTTGTGTTACAGCTGGTAAAATTTTTTTTCTTTTTCTTTTTTTTTGTAATTTGTGATAAAAATGATACCAAAAATACAATGTTTTTTTGCTGATGCTTGAACCTATCTTTCCTAGTGTTAGCAAACATTTCTCTACAATAATTTGGATTCATGGATTCACAAAATGAAAGAAAAGCATATCAAAATAGTTGAAATTACTGAAGGATGGATATAAGAATCATAAAAATGAATCAGAAGGCACTTTTTGCTTTCATTTTCTGTAAAGGTAAACGGCTGTAAATTTGATATGTAATTTCAGCGTATGAGGTATTTGCGATATGTGAATATATCGGTGTATTTCTGAATATCGCTTATCATGGTTGTGCTTTTTATGATATTCGGTATAAAGTGATATTTAGTGTTCGCCTTGTTGAAACAGCACAATTTTCAGAATATTATCCGGGAAGAATTATATGATCATCAGATGGAAAAAATGAGATTATGTTTGAGTATTATAAGATGATCACAAATTAGCATCACTGCCGAGTGAGAAACATGAATTTCACTAAAATTTACAAAAATTTTCAATGTTTTTTTTTTTTTTTTTTTTTTTGTTTTAAGAGCACAGAAAAACCCTGAAGGTCGAAAAATGTTCTGTGAGTGTTTATATTCTCCTGTTTGACAACAAAGCTTAATTTGAATATTTTTTTTGTGTGCTGATGTGGTTAAAAAGCAGATATTATGCTAAAACTGTCTATTGTTCAATTGGTTCTTTGCTACTGACTACTGAGCCTATTTTATAATTATTTCATTGGTTTTGAAATGCACCAAAAATAATGTGTAACTACTATTCATATGCTTGTAGGTGATCGAAAACGATGGTCAAAAAAAGAAAATGTTTGTTTATCCACTACTTATATAGAATTCAGGTAAATCTAAATAGTGTTTTTTTTTTATTTAGCGAGGAAGATCGTGCTAAAAATTTTTTTTCCTTACATTAGAAAGTACTGACATTAGTCCACGTTTTGATTAGCAGCTTGTTTTGAATTTGCAATTTCCATCACTCGTCTACATGCTACTATCTTAATTGGGGACTAATTACTAAGGGTGAAATCTTGACAGTGCTTCTGTGACAACAGTATCACGGTATATCACGTGCATCTGATTTCCAGGTTATAAGACTTGAACAAACTTGAAACTAGAGTTTGAAAATTGGAGTCAATTCGAAAAGTACTACTAATGAAACACAATTTTCTGTATTGAAATGAATAGCAAGGATTTGCTGTTTCAATTAAACAACTTTTCACATTTTTTTGCTGCAGAAAAGGGTAGTCATAAGAAATCTCAAAAAAAAAATCTCAACCCGTGGAAGAACCATCCGAGGAAATTCCAATTAGTTCAGATACACCTGAATTAAAACTGCCAAACTATCTTATCACTGTACTTCACTCTCATGCTCTCACTTCTATTCGGTCAAAGCACAGCTTCGATCGATAGATGCTATTACATACACCTACATACAACCATACATACATACACATACACACAGACATACGTACATAGACCCAGAATAACGAATTACACGCCACTACCACCTCAGTCAGCCGTCGCTTGCTCGGTTGATTCAGTTTTAAATATAAGCTCATACACACACATTCACGTCGTAGAACAGTTGATGAGCACGTGTGTGTGTGTGTGTGTGTGTGTGTGTGCTCACTAGCAGTTCAGGTGGTGCATCTACAAAAGGAAACCCCACTCTTGTTTTTATCGCATTCGCTGGTGTTGCTTACTGTCAAACAACCCGCATGCATATCTTTCGGGAAGAATTTTCTTTAAGGATCGTTCTGGTACTATTTGTAAAAGATAACGTTTGCATGTTCCCAAAATAAGCTATCGTTTCCTTCCGTAATAATTGCGCCAAGTTTGCCTATGCAACTACAAAATTTGCGTACATTTGTACCCCCGTCTCAGTGCCCGTTGACCATCTCTCTCAGCATTGTTTTTGATTTCTAACTCCTCTCAACAGCCTAATTACTGTTCTAAATAATGAAAATTTAAAAATCAATGTGAAGAAATTCCGCTAAATCTTATTGATTCAACTAATGTTCATTATTTTGGACCGTTTATAGCGTGCAATCAGATTGTGTTCAGGTAGTTGGTATCTTTGCATCATAAACTTTCCTTTTATTTTTTCGTTTTTTGTTCACCCTTTCCAACCATTAACATATATACTAAGAGAACTGGCTAAATTATAGAGTTGATTGTCTTGCTTTAACAGGCAAATTTATATATCTCCCGAAAAATCAGTCAGAAAATGCATGAAGTGAAGAATTCTTCTATCAGAAAATATTGTTTCTCGACAACCATCAGCCTTTATAATTGTAAGAAATAAGAATGATATAAGAAGGTCATATATTGAATTCGGTATGTTATAACTGTGCTATATGAATAATTTCTTCTAATTTTTATAAATGCTTTTGAAACTTCTATAACTCATTTTGTCTTTCTTTGGTTCATTAGCATTAATTGTGTTCACTTTATCCCTGAACTTAAATCTGCTTGTTTCAGGGAACTTTTGTCGTTTGTTTTTTATCATTTCCAATATTTTTATGGCTTTTGCACATCCTTTTAAAGTATGCAATTGCATGTTTCTTCGCCTGATTGCATTTTACAACAACAGCAGACTCATAGCTGCATAAAAAAACAACCCGCACCTCACAGATTCATTTCCCTAAATTAACGACTTGTTGCCATGTTGTCCATTAATTTTCCTTGCCCTCATCAGTAATTCTTAAAATTGAAACTAATGGAATTTTCTGTGCTATGGAAGAAAGGCTCTTCGCAAACAGCTCCAGTCGTTTTGATGTTCGGCAGTATCTCCTTCATATTCATTGAATTATATCATAAAGTTAGAGGACTATCCGGAAAGTTAGTAGAAAAATTAGATGAAACGTAATGGTGCTTTAAATTATGGATTCAAGTATAGGCATTGTCAGTGGGAAATTTGAAGTTAACATCCCCAAAGATATAAAATTTATCAGTTGACTAAAAGTTTCTATATCACAAAATGAGTACTTTTTTACTGTATTTTCAATAAACCATGGAATAATAAATGAACTGATAAATGGAATATAATGGAATGACAAATGAATTGATAAGCAAAGTTAAGCATCGAGTAATATGCCAGAATTTGAAATGATCCCTTCTTGCTCCTTCCTACTTTTTCTATCCGTTCTCATTTTCTGTCTTCACAAACTGGAAGAGTTTCCACTGATTTCATTTGGCTATAAGTGATAGAAAGCCAGTATGACACATGATCCTGTTTTACCCTTCTTAAATTTCAGTTTTCCATTTTTCTTTCTAATCATTTTTCCCTTTTTATTTACCATCGAGAAGGTTTTAAATATCACCGAGTGCTGTCTGTTACGTTGTTATGGTATTTGAAAAAAGTATACCGTCATTTCCTAATGATCACCCAGTACGTCATTACTGCTTTCCCTTCAGTGAAACAGTTTGAATCTGGCAATGATTATCATTTAGCTCCCTCGCCCTCTCCTTTTTTCGTTTACTCGTGCCGTCTCGGTCTTCTTTCTATCCTTTTGTTATCCCTATATTTTTTCAGTCATTTCGAAAAGATTTAATCGTTTTTTGCAGCGTCTTTAAACACTCCCTTCAGTGAATCGGTAGTTTGCTTGAAATATGTCGTATTGGTGTCCTCTTGGAAAGGCATGGCTATTGATTTTCAGTTTTATTGTATACCACTTTAAAACGAAACAAACGCATTCAGTGAGGCAAAATGCTACTTCATCGAAAATGCTGTTCTACTTAGACACAGTTTGCTGCTTTTATCTTTTCTCTCTCACATCTCTTTCCTTTTTCAAATTCAAAATATTTGAGATGATTTATTTGCATTTATGGATTCCGTATTTCTTTAATGCTGTAATTCTGCTGAATATTCTTCCGTGCTATTAAGATGATCCAATCTAGCCTATTTTATGGAATGAAATCGATGAAGTGTTAAGTTTGGTATTACATCTATAATTTTAAAAATGCATGTTTTACAGTCTGTTAATGGGTCAAGTAACTAAATTTAGAACTTAGGGGATTTAGAGTAATTAAGAGAACTTATTCTGTGCGAGACCATAGACACTGAGAACTTAAACTTCATTCCTTCAATTTATGTAGCAGTATTCAACAGACCGTTTTAATCGAAGAAATAACTGAACCAATTATCGTGCTTTACCCGCTAACATATAGTTTTTATTGGGTGAATAATTTTTCACTTGCTTATATCATATTCTATGAATAGAATAATTCAGCTTTGCTACTTTTTATGGTTCATAGAACTCTGAACCAAAATTTCTTTCGCATCCCCCAATGTTTAATCATTCATAGAAACGAATCATGTTGTTTAAATTCAACAGTACATTATGCAAAACAGAAAGCATTCATTTCCATTGTATTTTCTACTTTTGCCCTCCATAATGTTTCATGGCATTAACTTTTTATTATTGACACACTTTCCTCTATCCGATATGATTTTTGTTCCACTTTTTTTTGAAAAAAAAAAAAAAATTGGAACAAATGTTATCCTGTCCAATTAATTGCAAACATTTATGGTTTTCTGCATAAATTAGTGATATAATGAATAAAAAAATTACAACTGTCATTAATACTATAGCAATATTTATTACATAAAGCAAAATTCAAGGTTAAAAAATCAGAGAGCTTAACTTTATGGCTGTACGTTCGGAAATCCGGAGAAATAAGATTAGTTTTTGACAGTCTTGGGTGGATTGAAATTTAATTTCGGAGTCTATTTTATGAAAGTTCAAAATATAAGCAAATTCTATTCATAACAAGCAGTAGGTAGTTAGTATGCTCGGCAGGTTCGAGGGAGTGTTGTTAGGAGATGGGACATGAGACTAGCTGGCTTCAGTTGAACTACAACCGCTTTTCATCAATCAAACAGCTTCACTGCATTCCCCACTATATATTTCTCTTTCCTATTCCACATTTACTTTCGCTATTTTTCAAATAATCTTGTCTGACTAACCTAGATTCTTTGCGATCATCTTGTATCACCTTGATGGAACACTGTGCTTCCTCATTTCTTTAATTATGCCTCAGGTCTGTGCTAATTCTCGAGCTATTTACCTATTCGAAAGGCTATCATCTATGAGTTATTTTAATATCCTGTGGTCTCATTATTCACACCACGCGCTAATATCATTTTTATTATGTTACTCTTCTCTCCACTTTGAAAGTTTTCGGAACGATGAGGTAAAAGAATAAGAAAATAATTATGCATGCCTTCAGTATCTTATTATTTGAGCAACATCTAGTCCTCTTGTTCATGAAATGCTGATAAAAGTGACACGAATAATGAGACCAGACGTCCAAATTCATATTTCAAATTTCTTTCTTAATCAAAAAAAAAAAAAAAACTTTTATGAAATGAAAAATGGGTAATCTAA